TATTATTACTAGGTAAACATAGGGGTAACACTAGGGGTATCATTATTTATAATAGGGTATTAATATTAGTTATAGTGTGGTATTATTACTAGGTGAACATAGGGGTAACACTAGGGGTATCATTATTTATAGTAGGGTATTAATATTAGTTGTAGTGTGGTATTATTACTAGGTGAACATAGGGGTAACACTAGGGGTATCATTATTTATAATAGGGTATTAATATGAAATATAGAGTGGTATTATTACTAGGTAAACATAGGGGTAACACTAGGGGTATCATTATTTATAGTAGGGTATTAATATTAAATATAGTGTGGTATTATTACTAGGTGTACATAGGGGTAGCACTAGGGGTATCATTATTTATAGTAGGGTATTAATATTAGTTATAGTGTGGTATTATTACTAGGTGAACATAGGAGTAGCACTAGGGGTATTATTATTTATAGTAGGGTATTAATATTAGTTATAGTGTGGTATTATTACTAGGTGAACATAGGGGTAACACTAGGGGTATCATTATTTATAGTAGGGTATTAATATTAAATATAGAGTGGTATTATTACTAGGTAAACATAGGGGTAGCACTAGGGGTATCATTATTTATAGTAGGGTATTAATATTAAATATAGTGTGGTATTATTACTAGGTGTACATAGGGGTAACACTAGGGGTATCATTATTTATAATAGGGTATTAATATTAATTATAGAGTGGTATTATTACTAGGTAAACATAGGGGTAGCACTAGGGGTATCATTATTTATAGTAGGGTATTAATATTAAATATAGTGTGGTATTATTACTAGGTGTACATAGGGGTAACACTAGGGGTATCATTATTTATAATAGGGTATTAATATTAGTTATAGTGTGGTATTATTACTAGGTAAACATAGGGGTAACACTAGGGGTATCATTATTTATAGTAGGGTATTAATATTAATTATAGTGTGGTATTATTACTAGGTAAACATAGGGGTAGCACTAGGGGTATCATTATTTATAGTAGGGTATTAATATTAGTTATAGTGTGGTATTATTACTAGGTGAACATAGGGGTAACACTAGGGGTATCATTATAGTAGGGTATTAATATTAATATAGAGTGGTATTATTACTAGGTAAACATAGGGGTAGCACTAGGGGTATCATTATTTATAGTAGGGTATTAATATTAAATATAGTGTGGTATTATTACTAGGTGTACATAGGGGTAACACTAGGGGTATCATTATTTATAATAGGGTATTAATATTAGTTATAGTGTGGTATTATTACTAGGTAAACATAGGGGTAACACTAGGGGTATCATTATTTATAGTAGGGTATTAATATTAATTATAGTGTGGTATTATTACTAGGTAAACATAGGGGTAGCACTAGGGGTATCATTATTTATAGTAGGGTATTAATATTAGTTATAGTGTGGTATTATTACTAGGTGAACATAGGGGTAACACTAGGGGTATCATTTATAGTAGGGTATTAATATTAAATATAGAGTGGTATTATTACTAGGTACAGTGCAGTATTTTGTATTACTTTACTAAGAACATGGCGTAGCACTAGGGTTATTATTATTTATAATAGGGTATTAATATCATTTTTGTGTGGTATTATTACTGAGTAAACATAGGGGTATTATTATTTATAGTAGGGTAGTAATATTAATTATAGTGTGGTATTATTACTAGGTGAACATAGGGGTAGCACTAGGGGTATTATTATTTATAATAGGGTAGTAATATTAATTAAAGAGTGGTATTATAGCTAGGTGATTCCACTGATGCCATGATTTGCCAGGTCTGTTTTAAGCCAATAATAATAGAACATCCAAGAAGCTCACCTGCCCATTGCGCGTCCTGTCCGTGGCTGTGTTCATGCCGGATCAGAGCGGACTTGGAACAGAAGCTCCGCCCACAGACAGCGCAGGAGTAAGGCCGCTCTCCCGTGTGAGTCCGCAGGTGGATGGTCAGACTGGTTTTCTGGGAGAAACCCTTATCACACACTTCACATTTAAATGGCTGCTCCCCGGTGTGCGTCCGCTGGTGCCGGTAAAGGACAGAGCTGCACTTGAAGCTCTTGTTACACAGCGGGCAGGAGTAAGGTCGCTCTCCGGTGTGTGTTCTCTGATGGCGGACCAGATAGAAGTTACAGCTGAATGTGTGTCCACATTCTCCACACTTGTAATGACGGTCACCAGAGTGGCTCTTTAGATGTTTCTTTAAGTCATTAGGGCGTGGAAAGGTTTCTAAGCAAATGCCGCATTTGTAGACGGACGGGGCCCTGGGAGCCACAGAAAGTGATCCGGCGGCAATTGCTGGCTTTACGGTCTTTCCGCTGCAGTGGAAGTTGCTATGACGTATGAGAGTTGAATGGTAGCCAAAACCTTTACCACAGTCAAGGCAAGAAAACGGTCTCTCTTCCACATGCATTGTCTGGTACAAACAGAATGGAGCGAGTTTTAAAAGGATAATTTATACTAGAAATTCCTTCCACGGACACATGTGCAGTCTATAGAGGACAGTCCTTACTAAACAACAACAACGAAAATATCCTTGACTACTCTAATCCACTTCTCAGTGGTCTTACGTGCTCCCAACTTGCCCCGTAACAGTCTATAATGCAACACGCCTCCCCCCTCTGTCAGTCCCTACATTGGCTTCCCGTAAGATTTTGGGCTCAATTTAGGATCCTGATACTTTCTTGTAAATCTCTACAACATGCTGCTCCGACCTACCTATTCTCACTAATACACAAATATGTTCCATCTAGGCCCCTACGCTGTAACGAAGACCTGCGTCCATCCTCTGTTCATACTCCTACCTCTGATGCTCAACTTAAAGACTTCTCTAGGGCTGCACCATGGAACACCCTTCCCCTCTGTTACACTTTCACCCAGTCTCCACTCCTTCAAAAAATCATTGAAAACTCACTTCTTGTGTAATTATTTCGTTCCGAATATACATTCAGACGAATTTCGTGCAGTTCAGACGCTTATGAATGTCCGAAGTTCGGAGGTGCCGAACCAAACCGTATTGGTGAAGTTCAGAAGTGCTTCGGATTTCTGAAAAGTGGCAAAACGGGGAGAGAAAATTACGTGAATGATGACTGGAATTTTGACCAATAAGCTAATTAGTGGCACTGGGAGCCTTATAGCTGTGTAGGTGGTTGTGGTGGCAATCCTGGCACTGGGAGCCCTACAGATGTGTAAGTGGTTGTGGTGGCAGTCCGACCACTGGGAGGCGGGAGCTCTGTAGATGTGTAAGTGGGTGTGGTGGTAGTCCGGGCACTGGAAGCCCTATAGATGTATAAGCTGTTGTTGCTAGTCCTGGAACTGCGAGCACCCTGCCTAAAATGTGTCAGGACTGCCACCACAACCACTTTCACATCTATATGGCTTCCAGTGTCCGGACTGCCACCACAACAACTTACACATCTGTAGGGCTCCAGTCTCCCAGTGCCCCGATTGCCATCACAACCACTTACACATCTCTAGGGCTCCCAGTGCCACCACAACCACTTACTAGACATGTGCAATTTGTTTCATGCAATTCGAATTTTGGTAGTTCGGAAGTGCCGAACCGAACCAAATGCAATTGGTCCGAATTGCCGAAGCAGACACATTTTTTTTTCCCCCTGAATTTTCGAACCGAACCAAAAAATTTGCCCATGCCCATCCCGATCAATTAAACTGTTAATAGCCCCTCCCCGCACCCTGACTCCTCTCCTGAAACTGTCATCAAAACAAAACACTAAGCCCTGAGTGAATACTATTCTAGTAAAATGATATGCATCCTACGTGTCACTATACCCCACTCCCTCTAACATGTAAACTCACTGAGCAGGGCCCACAATCCCTCTGTTACTGTGTCACTATACCCCACTCCCTCTAACATGTTAACTCACTGAGCAGGCCCTCAATCCCTGTTACTGTGTCACTATACCCCACTCCCTCTAACATGTAAACTCACTGAGCAGGCCCTCAATCCCTCTGTTACTGTGTCACTATACCCCCACTCCCTCTAACATGTAAGCTCACTAAGCAGGGCCCTCAATCCCTCTGTTACTGTGTCACTATACCCCACTCCCTCTAACATGTAAACTCACTGAGCAGGACCTCAATCCCTCTGTTACTGTGTCACTATACCCCACTCCCTCTAACATGTAAACTCACTGAGCAGGCCCTCAATCCCTCTGTTACTGTGTCACTATACCCCACTCCCTCTAACATGTAATTCACTGAGCAGGGCCCTCAATCCCTCTGTTACTGTGTCACTATACCCCACTCCCTCTAACATGTAAACTCACTGAGCAGGGCCCTCAATCCCTCTGTTACTGTGTCACTATATCCCACTCCCTCTAGCATGTAAACTCACTGAGCAGGGCCTCAATCCCTCTGTTACTGTGTCACTATACCCCACTCCCTCTAACATGTAAACTCACTGAGCAGGCCCTCAATCCCTCTGTTACTGTCACTATACCCCACTCTCTCTAACATGTAAACTCACTGAGCAGGGCCCTCAATCCCTCTGTTACTGTGTCACTATACCCCACTCCCTCTAACATGTAAACTCACTGAGCAGGGCCTCAATCCCTCTGTTACTGTGTCACTATACCCCACTCCCTCTAACATGTAAACTCACTGAACAGGCCCTCAATCCCTCTGTTACTGTGTCACTATACCCCACTCCCTCTAACATGTAAACTCACTGAGCAGGCCCTCAATCCCTCTGTTACTGTGTCACTATACCCCACTCCCCCTAACATGTAAACTGACTGAGCATGGCCTCAATCCCTCTGTTACTGTGTCACTATACCCCACTCCCTCTAACATGTAAACTCACTGAGCAGGGCTCTCAATCCCTCTGTTACTGTGTCACTATACCCCACTCCCTCTAACATGTAAACTCACTGAGCAGGCCCCTCAATCCCTCTGTTACTGTGTCACTATACCCCACTCCCTCTAACATGTAAACTCACTGGGCAGGGCTCTCAATCCCTCTGTTACTGTGTCACTATACCCCACTCCCTCTAACATGTAAACTCACTGAGCAGGGCCCTCAATCCCTCTGTTACTGTCACTATACCCCACTCCCTCTAGCATGTAAACTCACTGAGCAGGCCTCAATCCCTCTGTTCCTGTGTCACTATACCCCACTCCCTCTAACATGTAAACTCACTGAGCAGGCCCTCAATCCCTCTGTTACTGTGTCACTATACCCTACTCCCTCTAACATGTAAACTCACTGAGCAGGCCCTCAATCCCTCTGTTACTGTGTCACTATACCCCACTCCCTCTAACATGTAAACTCACTGAGCAGGACCCTCAATCCCTCTGTTACTGTGTCACTATACCCCACTCCCTCTAGCATGTAAACTCACTGAGCAGGCCCTCAATCCCTCTGTTACTGTGTCACTATACCCCACTCCCTCTAGCATGTAAACTCACTGAGCAGGGCCCTCAATCCCTCTGTTAGTGTGTCACTATACCCCACTCCCTCTAACATGTAACTCACTGAGCAAGCCCTCAATCCCTCTGTTACTGTGTCACTATACCCCACTCCCTCTAACATGTAAACTCAGTGAGCAGGGCCTCAATCTCTCTGTTACTGTGTCACTATACCCCACTCCCTCTAACATGTAACCTCACTGAGCAGGCCCTCAATCCCTCTGTTACTGTGTCACTATACCCCACTCCCTCTAACATGTAACCCCACTGAGCAGGGCCTCAATCCCTCTGTTACTGTGTCACTATACCCCACTCCCTCTAACATGTAAACTCACTGAGCAGGGCCCTCAATCCCTCTGTTACTGTGTCACCATACCCCACTCCCTCTAACATGTAAACTCACTGAGCAG